CATAGTCGGTATGACAGATTTCCTAACCTGCAGAGTCGTCAACTTTAACGCTAAATATCTCGGTTCGCGAGGCAGAGCGACACTTTTTTCTGCCAGATTCTTTCGTTTTGTGCAAAAACGCGTCGAATAAGCCTAATTTCATCGAAATCGGAGGTGAGGGAGGTATTCTGAATAATTACCAAAAAAGTTTTTTGAAGTAAAGCTTGAATACGTACGTCAGAAAGAACAAATCTTTGTTATCGACCGTGACGTTGTCCCGTCATAGGACGATCGTGCGTGCCGCTAGGTGGCTCAACTGCGACTGCGAGCTTTATGCGAGCTAGCTGTGCGCGTCAGTTGTGGTTGAGTCAGTTCGCTCGTTGATTGTTCATTGTTGATTGTTTTGTCATTTTCTCTTTATTGTTATCCGTAGAAAGAAAGTATAATTAGCGAGTCGCGCTCGAATATCTTCCCCGTGGTTACGAGCAAACTCGACAAACGCCGAAGGAAACAATACTTCGCTCCCTGTCGTTATCAGTTATCACCGGACGAGTCTCCCTATCGGACATAACCGCTGTATCGATCCGACACACCGCTGTCACAGTATATAGAGTATATACTGTGTCGCTGCTGGTCGCTGCTGGTCGCTGCCTAGTCCGCCGAGAGACGAGTCACGAGAGTGCCGAGTCTGTGGAGTCTGCTCGCCTGCTGCCGCCTGCCGCAGCAGCGTACTCTGCGTACACGGTAAGAGGTTATGTTGACTTGGACAATTCGCACCAATCGCACCGCGCGATCCTCGGCGATTTCCGATTGCCCGGTATAAGGTGCGGATTGTGGAGAAACGGATTGCATCTTATTGTTAGTATTGCGTTTTGTCGCAGAAATCAATCGGTAAGAAAAATGGTGCTCGCTTCGAGACGCTCGATGACAATTGCACGTGCAACGGGTCGTAGCATCGAGCTCCTGGAACGGAGCCCCTTCTTGCCGTGAAAAAGAATATAATGCTCTGTCGAATGTCGTTGTCGCTCCACATCAACGTGGGCTTCCTCCGCAGTGCCGGCCACGGAGCAGACCACAAATGTCTTGTAAAGGAACTGCTGCCATCACCGCATGTACATCGAGACGACATAGTCGCGAGAGAATTAGCTCCGAGAGCGAAGGAACGGAATGCACGTCCGTCGATGCTCTTTTTGCTTCGTCGAGAACGGAAGAGGTCGTTAAGAGGGATCAAAGAACAAGAAGAAATGAGAATTGGCAACAAACGGTGACTGGAAAGGGTGTTGACGTCGTCGAAACGGTAGCTGACTTTGAGAAATGGCTTAAGATGCGTAGCACGGAACCGCCGGTGCCATCGAATATGGACTTGGACACAACTAAGATGGTGGAGGGTGTAGACCGGTATCTTGGTGAAGAGGTGCTATCACATGGCTGCTTTCTGAGCAAAGATCCATATGGTCTGTCCATCGACATCGATTTGGCAGATACCAAGAAGCTTAATCTATCGTCAAGCTATGATCCGATACTACAGGATCTGACGCACAGCGAGAACCGATTACTGGAGCCACCGTGCGAGAAGGTCGTCGATGAGTTTATGTTACCAGAGTTCCAGCTGGATCATTTGGATCCACTAGTGACCCTCACGCCGGATGACATGATAGTGGCTGGTGAGATTCTACCGTCTGCAAGCAGCCAGCCAATAATAAGTGTAGAAAATCAACATCGAGTCGAAGAAAATGCTCCAAAAACAGGAGTTCCTGTGCAGAACAATGAGACACCCTGTGAGAAATCCACACAGGTTACTCTCAATCAGCTACCAGTGAATATAGTCATGAACGAAATGGAGGATGCAAAGACAGAACAGGAAACTGTAGTACAATCTTCAGTAAGTTCCTCGGAACTCTTCATTGGGACTTTACCACCGATGGAGGAGAACTCGTCGAGTACCATGACAAATTCCATGGAAATAGATACGCATGGTATGGTAATAGAACATTTGAAGAAAACGAAACTCGAACCTCGTATCATCAAGAAACGTCGTCGACAGATGACAGAACGACTGGAGAAGAAGCTTGATAAGCATATTAATGGCAAAAGCTTTGCAGTTGACACGGACTCACAGGATGGCATGATGGCTGTGGTCGCTATATCTACTGACAAAACCTCCAACATGACACAGATTGTTATTAATACTGGCACAGAGAAACAGATCTATCAAGGCAAGACTTCGGAATTGATTGAAGCAACAGGCAATTTTCCAAAATTGCCCAAGATAGATACTTCGGCCGCAGTTTGGAATGGCACAGTTGAATATGGTACCGATAGTAATCCAAGTAACCAATATGAAATTGTTATATCCAATGCACTGGAGGAATTAGGTATCACCGATGATAGCCTGCAACCTTTGTGCACCACCGAACACGACAAGGTGTGGCTTTGTCCACGAGATGGCTGCAACAGACAATTTGGTAGATTGTACACTCTGAAGGGCCATTTGTTAGCCCATTATGGAGTTAGACCGTTTAAGGTATATTAAAGAGATATCATGTTATTTATTTTCTTTCTTTAATCTTTTTTGTCACAGTGATATAATTTTGCAGCAAATAAAATTAAATAAAACCGTTTAAAGTTAATTTTGTGAACTAGCTCTTAAAATTACTCAGCATAGAATTGTTCTTTTTTTTTCATTTACAATTATTTTAATTGGCTATATTTTTGCAGTGCGACTTTGAGGGCTGCACTTGGGCCTTTTATTCAGAGTTCAAGCTGAAGAGACACAAGGAGACACATTTGAAGCGCAAGGATTACGTGTGCGAGGTGGAAGGCTGCAATCGTCGTTTCACCACCGTCTACAATCTATGGAGCCACGCCAAGTTGCACAATCGTCCTAATCGGATCGTGTGTCAGGTGCCAGACTGCGGTGAGAAGTTTCAGACAAAACGAGCATTGGAACTACACATGAAGTCGCACGATCAACGCCATGCACCTTATGTGTGTCAGCATGAGGGTTGTGGCAAACGTTACTACAGTAGCAATGCATTGACATCACATCAACGATCACATAGCTATAAGGAAGTGGACATCAAGTGTTCATGGCCGGATTGTGGCAAGATTTTCGACAAGCCTTGCCGACTCAAAGCGCACATGCGATCTCATACCGGCTATAAACCCTATCCTTGTACTTTTCAAGACTGTAAGTGGGCTTTCTCATCATCCAGTAAGCTTAAGCGCCACCAAAAGAAGCACACGAACGAGCGTAAATTTGTGTGCGACGTGCCGGATTGTGGTAAGGCATTTATGCGCTCGGAACATTTGAAGGAGCACCGGCTAACGCACACGGAAGGCCGCTTTTTCCAATGCTTCGTGTGTGATGCCCGATTCTCCGCCAAGAGCAGTTTGTACGTACACATCAAGAAGCATCAGCAGGCTAAGCCAGACTTGAACGTAGTCAATAATATGCTCGAGTGCACTTCCGGTAATAAAAAACGTACGAGAACAAAAGAATCTCATTATTCGCGAGTGAAGCCGTCAAGCAAGTCGAAACGATGGAACACAGAACTAATAAATGCCGCGGAGACTATCACGAACGAAAATGATGTTGAGAAGCAGAGTGCCAGTGCATGTTCCCAGGATGAGGATCAAATGGAGTGGCTGTATCGTTGTCCAATAGAGATATGCGGACATTTAATCAGCAGCGAAACGGGTCTTCGTGAGCACATGTTAAAAGCACACAGCATACAATGCGACGATTTGTTGACTAAATCGTCTTCGAACGATGTCGACATAGATTACGTTTTATGTACCGTGCACAGTTCGCCAAGTTTATCCACTGTCGTCGAAGAAGAACAAATGGTCATGGTGACTCCGTGCGATGCCGTCATTCTTGATACCTCCTCGTCAAAAATAGATCATTGTTTGCCGGAACCGGAACCTTTCAACACCTTGCTGAAGAGCTCGGAACCGTTTCAAAATGATACGCAAAATGAGCGGATCGACAAGGAAACTGTATCAGTGAAGGAGCAGGGTTCAGCAAGGACAGATCTAACATATTCTGATTGGTCTAAATTGAAGAATAGTACATTGATGAATTCGGTAATAACGGAAACGTCGGACATTGTATTGGGCACAAGTGATGATTTGAGCGAAGGTCTGTTGCTCACAGAAGAGCTACCATCGATGTACTATCAGGACGATGTGGCAGGTACGGAGTATCAGGTGCTGTTATTAGATTCAAGTCCGCTCGAGAGTGCCAGTAATTTACGCGGTCTCGAGTGATTTTCGTGATACGAGTGCTCTCGACCAAATGATTGCCGTATAATTTGGACATGACGTGATAATCATAAATATTTTAAACGTAGCTTAAGAATGGCATAATAGTGATAATTTTGAATAATGATGATCGTGTTATTATATTAAACATAGCTTTTGTGGTATGTATACGTATGTATGTATGTAGTGTATATGTATATATATGTATATGTATATATATATACACACTACATACATATATATATATAAAACTTTAATACGATCTGTGATCCAGGAGCTGGCCTCAGCCTGATATTCATTTGTATTACACGGCTCATAATCGCTTTAAATCGTTATTTTATTAATAAATCGTTGATATTTTTCCATAAAAATCACCATCTGTGTACTTCATTGCTGTCGCTATCCGATTATAACATGTGTTTCGAAGCCATGCATAGTATATTTTACAAGTAATTCATTATTTGTCTATTTTTTTCAGCGTTTCAATTTTTCTTATGATATACAGTATACACACGTACACGCACATGTATTCATAAAGTCCTCTCGCATTCATAATCGATACAATTCAATAATATCATATCACATTATGGAAAGTTTATATGACATACATATATATTTTTTCTAAAATTAGTGGTATTAAATTACTCCACAATAATCTCTACAGCAAGTGGTAATAAAAAATTGTACAAAAATGGAATATACAAAATCGATACAATTCTTGATTGTTTTATGTTACGGATTTATCTATATATGCTATATTTTATCAAACAATTGAAAAAGATAATTGGCTGCATATACAATAATCATATAAACACGTTATAATAAAAGTTTAACTAGGTAGGAACTCTCGCATGGAACGAATATCATGTTGAGCTCTATAATAATGAATCTTAAAATCAAATTATTATATTAATTATTTCAGATTGTATGTGCAGCCTTATGGAAGCATCTTGCTTTTATATACTTTTCGTTTAGCATCGTATCGAAATTTCTAATTTATAATAAAGACAATCATCAATCTATTAATTATTATATGTTATTAAATCCTAAATTTCGATATAAGAGTATTAATAAAATATCTACAACACCTTGATTCTGTAAATAACGCTAATAAGAATACCACTAACTGATACAAAAGAACGTTTATATACCTTAAATATACGATGTTTACGTAATCTGAAATGAATTTAATAATGCGTTTAAAACAAAGTGTAATAATTTTTATCAATTTAAATATAAAAATACGTTTAATGTTTTTCAATGTTATAAAAATAACTTTTAAGATAAGTAATATCATATATATGTAACACCAAATACTAAGTAAAAACATTAATTCGTACAATTCATACGTAACGAAATACTTGTGCGATTACTGTTTCTATTTTCTTCAGTAAAATTTTTACAACTATTTAAAAAAAAAGAAACACTATACTTATTTTACATGAACCTTTACTTGTTCTATGTAAATAGCAAATAATTGAACGTATCCAGAACACTGACGATCATAATAATCGAATTGAAGCGTTCATAAATATTATCAGCTAAGCTTCTACGAGATATTATAATTAAAATAATTTCTAATAAATACAAGTAATTTGCGTAGAATGTATTCTCCATTTGGGAACGACTTTACAATCAGTATTAGGGATGAGCGATACAGAAAAAAATCTCAACATTTCGTATTGTAACGTATCATAAACATAAATATTGACTAAACCAAAATAGGTTATTTCATCGATCTTTTTGAATAACTGTTCCAATCAGTTTAAAAAAAATTACATTATTTTCATATGCAATTAGTATCATATATAGATGTAATATCTATATATAGTACTAAGACCCGTTTCTACCAATGTAGATTAACTTTAATCTCGATTCAATTTACTCTTTATCTTTTTCTTATTTTTAAAACTAGAAAAAGATGAAAAGTTAGTTGAACCGAGATTAAAGTTAAACTGCATTGGTAGAAACAGGCATAATTTGGATGAAGCTCACCAGAAAGACTCTACTGGTAGACGCAACCACGTCAAGAAAACACGTTTCATTTCAACTTATCGAATATGAAATTCGGTTCCATGCTTTGGGACCTTATATGCTGAGGAGATATTAACAAATATTTCTAAATAAATTTTTAATTTATTTATTAAACTACTTCCGTTGGTTTTTCCGGAAGTGGTTTGTCATTCGTCATATCTATGTGCACAGGTTTGTTGAATTTCTCAGTATCTATCTTACGATAGATCCGGTCTCTGATGTTCGCCAACAAACAAGTGATGCAATGCAGCACTGTCACGAACGTGAAACCGCCGATACAAACGAGTGACGTCCGCACTGGTTTCTTCCAATCAAGGATTTTGTAGATGTAGTGATAACCATGCTTGTCAAGGCCGCCAGCAACATAGTAAATCACTGAGAAAATTACGTAGAACATAACGATCGATAGGCACCACCAGAAGTTCCGCAGGCGGAACGGTATGTTGGTGACAAATAGATCAATCAGCATCAACACGCTGTTACACACGTGCATCATGATGTTGAGCGGGTCCACCTGATGGATCGCTGGATTATATACGGCGAGCCAGTAGGACACCGTCACGCCAATTGCCATGTTGGTAGTGACGACATACAGAAACCAGTACAGTCGCTCAGTGGACTCCAATTTGAGACTGCAAGGATCAAAGCCGGATGTCTTCTGCAATCGCCATCGCTTCGATACGAGGATACTGCCAATCAGCGCTTGTATAAAGCCCAGAGCCATGTCCCAGTTGGTCAGATAGATTGGCCATTTCTCATACTGCATTAGTGGTTTGTAACTGCCAAATTCAAACAGCGAACATACGACAAAAGCGGCCCAGATGAGGAAGATGATCCAACGGTAGTACAGATACCAGATGGACACATACGATTGGCACTTGGGTTCGGACAGCACATGCGCCTGCGGTGGCTTCTGTTTAGCCGCCTGTCTCCACCTGCGGCCAATCTCTTGGCACCAGAGTTTGCTCACCATTGTGCGGTGACCTGGAATGATAAGGAATCAATGATATTTCTCTTATATATCTATTGAAAAGAACGTGAATTAGCGCGTGTCTCAAATATGTGGATTGAATTTGACAAAGATAAATTGATCAAATCTCATTTGATTTGGAGAGGCTGCTAGATAGAACCATAGAACGTACTTAAGAAAATGGACAATCGGATGAAGGGATACGCGATCGGAAAGAAAATCTTGGAAAATTGTTAGAATCGAGAGATATCGGAGAACCGCGCACCTACGACGACTCTTGACAAATAACGAGTGGGCAGCCAATTCAACCTAAAAACGGTACATAGCAGGGACACGCAATCACGCTATATTCCGAACAAGCGTGATTCAAAGATTAACGCTTTAATAAATGTAATTATTCTTCGAAAAGGACCGCGCATTGCTTCATCGCACTCGGACGAGCAAGCGCCTGTGCAACACGTACGACCGACCATTTCCACCTTACTATACGATCGAACAGAACATTACATTCATTATATTTTTTTCTTTTCTATATACCGGCATAATCAATAATTATGCGTCTCTGGAATATTTTTTTTTGGAATTTTATCAACATTTCTAATTATATAATTTTTTAATATTAAATTAATAAGGACTGTAAAATATACTAATTAATTTGATAAATTAGAAGATTCGATTTTTTTTTCAAATTTATAAAATCTTATAAATTTCAAACGTTTTTAGATCTAATAATAATTGACCGTTATTGCAATGAGCATTTGTAATGACACCTTGTGTCGCTTTTATATAATAACACGAACGAAACACGTTCGAAAATCGATTCGACACTTGCGAGAAGGTCTCGATAATTTTTCAATGAACGACTTACATAGCAAGCATTGTAAGAAGAGCAACAGCAGTCGTTTCGAAGAAGGCAATCCTGTGAACGAGAGCATCATTCTCGTCTCTCGATCTCGAAAAATACGGTCGCTGTGATACGACAAATATGCGTGATCTGAGAGCACCTAACCTAACCTAACTGTTACCCTAAGCTGTCCGATTTGCGTTGACAGTTGATCAAACTAAAACGCGCGAAGATGAAAAAATATATTTTTGATATAAAAATATATTATCTTCAATTCGCTCACACACAAGGGATGATACAAACACGGAGAATAATGCTAAAATGTCCGTATTTATGTGCGAATTTAGTGCTTTTTTTTCAGAGTAATTGGATAAAGAGCTGAGCGAGGGAATACGCATTTCTCGGAGCAGATTTATTCAAAATAAACCTTTAAGTTTTTTTAAAGTATTGTCAGGAGTTATTATAGGATTATATTTTGACGAAATGTGACGCAAATTTAATCCGATTCGAATATCGCGTCAAATTGAATGAAGTAAGTCATCTTGCATCTTACGTTGCGATCGCGTGATTTTATATATATATATATATATCGATCGAGAAATATCCATACTGAACCGTTAGAATTTGAATTTGCGACTTACTTCAGACCGCCAAAAACGAGAGACGTTTGAAGTTTGAACTTTGAATACGGTCCTTCGATGCCGCAAAGTAACGACTAGGAACGCAATAACGAGAGAGAGAGAGAGAGAGATTCGGTGAAACGAGTTCCGATCGCTCGGAAGCGTATCTCTAGCGATGAGAATAATCAAAACAGGTAAACGTCGCAAGGTGATCCACTATGCGAATGACGATCGCTCGCTCGAATCTAAATCCTAATGACGATAGTCTCGTGCACTGCTCGTGCACGGTCTGCACGTATTCGAGTGTTCGAGTCGTGTCGGAGTCGGATTTTAGAAGTATCTCTCCTGATCTCTCCCGATCTCTCCCCAAGTCCCCATCCCGCACACCGTCACGGCGACGCGACGCGAATGGGAGGTGATGGGAGGTGATGGGAGGCCACTTCGAACTAATTAACCTCGTTGGTCCACCGCGAGCGACGCTGAGGCTGAGGTTCACACGGCATGACAGGCTCTGACAGGAGAGATCAGCCGGTGCTCATACATACATATAACGCGCGCCTGCAAACGGAAGGTCGGCCGGTCAATCAGCCAATACTAATTCACCGTTCATTTATTACAATCTTGGTCTATTGCAGCCTGTTATATTGGCACGAGCAAATGGTCAAGCTTAAGCGAATCGTTATCCATTGGAAGTCTAATCTACCTTTGCGAAAGGTAGAAGGAAAGAAAATAAAAATGCATAAACGACTCGAAGATATTGCCAAGATATATCGTTCCAAGAAATTGGATTCATCATTTCAAAAACCGGAACTACGTGCATGCTTCATGGTTCTTGAACATTTTCTTCTTTAACTTCCTTTTTTTTAACATCTTTTGATTATTTTATTATGAATTTTAAAATTAGTAAATAAAATAAAGAAAGAGCGAGAAACTTAGATATAGGATATTTGTCTATTTTTAGACATTACAGAATGCTAGGAAATTGGTACAGTAATTCCGCCTCGTGTATTTAAGATGTTATGAAATAAATTAATGTATAATGAGATATCAATTCGTAGAAACTCATTTATCTAATGTTTATTGAGAGACTACTTTTAATAGTAGATTACATGATCGTACAGGAGATAAAAAATTTTGTAATTTACAAATTTACAATGCATTTAACTAACAATCATTTATTAGATAATATAAGATCTAATTATAATTATATAACTAATATTATGATAGATTAATTCATTTCTCAGCGTTTAAGAGCAATCTAAAATATGTAGTAAAAATTAAGGAATAATTGTAAATTTAATTTTGTATTTAAAGATAATTAATTTGTAACGTCATAATTTATATTCAGTTTCTTTAATGTATAGTTATTTTTTATGGATTTGAAGATTTTGAAGATAACTAACAAAAGACAAAATACAATATCAAAAATGAACATATCACAGTAGAAAAGAAGCTTTTTGATTAACAGATTCCACAATAAACAGGACTGATTTAACTCTACATTCTCTTAATTTTTAATTAATAAGATAGCACCTTGTGCTATATATACATATATATTCTTACTTAATTCGATCAGTCCATCTTATTAGTAATCCGTTTTCTTCCCAGCTCTAAAAATCTCTCTTTCACATTTCATAATTGAGATTGTCAAATAAAATTCACATTTTGAATAAAAAGAACACAAAATTTACACAAATATTCTTTTATTCACAGATATATTATGCACTTTGAGAAATTTTGGCGACTCTGTTCGGTTAGCGATGTGCAACGCAACTTTCGCGACCGATGCCGACGATTGACTAAAGTGTGAGGTGAAGAAGTTTCCGTGCACAAGAGAAATATATACGTGAGAACGGCATACCAGATTGACGTCGAGATAAACGATAATCATGGCGTTTCCCGGGAAAACGATAAAGAATAACGAATGTATGATTACATCATATATTGAGGTAAGCATTAATTCATAAAAAGAGAAAAAAAGAAAAAAAAGGAAAGAGAAAAGAGAACGAAGATATTTTTTAACAAGTTATACGATATATATTTGACAGCTGATAAAGCAGTGTCTGTGCCTTCTAAGTCGAGAGATTCATCTCTTAATTCAATGCAAACTTGTCGATTCACCTAACTATAAAAATAAATATTGATATTATATAAGCATTTATATATAATACACCCGGGCATCTTATATATTATTATATACAAGATACCACGATAAGGCCTAAGGTCCGGTTGCACCAACGTTACTTTGACTTTAAACGAGACTTAAAACTTTATCTGTCTCATTTTAAAGCCGAAAGAGGGGGAGAGATAGAGAGAATTTTAAGGCTCGCTTAAAGTCAACGTAACGTTGGTGCAACCGGGCCTAAGAGTCAATTTTTGCCACTAAATATTGCAAGAGAAAATGAATTGTGTATGTATGTGTATGTATATGTATATGTGCTTTGTATAATTTTTATTAGTACGATCAGTGAAATCGTTTGTATTTAGACAATATTACCTGAAATACACTTGTCAACAGATTACGTTATTAATTTTAAGAATTACGTTTCTCTCGAAAGTATTACGTTTCTTTTGTTCCTGTGACATCAATGTGTGGTATCAATGCATGTAATGATTCTTCTTGTTAATTTTGGACGGATTTTTAAACTTTGTCTATTGATTGATAGTGTATTGGATGAACGGTAATTACCACACCATATATACACAGTATACACATAGACATGTATATATAGAACTCTTTCACTCTTTTTCACATTTATGTACATTATTTAACACAATATGTTATTAGCAAAATTATTATCGATTTTTTTTATGACTGAACACAGTGTTTGCAACGTGTCAAGTATATTTGCTAGCTGTTAGTCACAATATCCCCGTATCCCGCACATTTTTATCAGATTGATACCTTATTAAGAATATAACATATTACAAAGATTGTTGCTCCAGTCATCATTTTGACACTACACTCAGTTCACCAGTTGTGACGGTGCATCGTTGATATCGAAGGATCACTTTAGAGAATCTCGTTAAGAATCAAAAAGCTAAGAATATCGATAATATATCACGATAATATGATGATCTCTCTCTCTCCCCCCCTCTCTCTCTCTTTCTCTAATGCTCACTTTTATGGAATTCAAGAATTTTATGAGTTAAAAAATCTTACTGGGAATTTGTAAAGTGTTCTAGGAGAATCAGAGGAAGAGTCGAGAAACACACGCACCGCATAGCGCGGAGAGCTTTGACGATTTCTTCGGGACGGCTTGTTCGATGAGGTCGTTTTTTTCCAACATATCACGAATCTCGATCTCTTCGCACCCGGGAGGCATTTCTCTTTTATTTTACTTAGCGATTGCCCTCCTGTTCTCTCTCGACGTACGTTTCGCCTCTAACTGTCCGACACCAGTCCCGCGTGCTCGCAATCAATATCAATCTCGGGGTGGATACCAGCACAAAGTTTCCCTCCCTAAACTTTTGTAGGCCTGTTCCCCATTGAGAAATCCCCACCTATATCAATGCAGGCACGTTAAGACGATACGAGACAACGATGTTTGAAAGCTGACCACATTAGACTTCTTATTATGTTTTTCGACATATTGAACATATGGAAACAAATGCAAAAAATATTAATAAAAGTACACATACAATATATTCACACAACAATACTTTCAAATAATTAACGATCTAAAAAAGGTATTGATTATGATGATTATAATGATATACTTTAAAGAAAATAGATATATTAGTTAAAAGTTTTATATATGAGTAACAAAAATTTAATGATATGCTTGGAAATTATTTTTATATCAAGAATATCATGAAAATTGCATTCAACCCGAATTCAACCTGAATAATTAAACAATAAGAATCTTACTGGACCGTGCATTTGAAAATTTAGCAATAAAGAATAGAAGTAATGGCCCTAATGGTCAAAGCTAGATCTTTAATGCTTAAATATAATTCAATCTGAACATATACTATATACGATATGTACATACATATTGTATATATATCATATTTGTAGTCATTCACACTGCGCGCCAAATTAGTTTTTCGGACTTAAATTACTGAAGTAATATCACAAATTAAATTGGCAAACTATTTTAATAATTTAATGCTCAATCAGGCATTTCGTTAAAAGATGTTAAAATATGTTGAAAAACTATAATAAATTTATTGCAAAAAATATTATTTTGGTCTTCAAATTAGCTTTGAGCATCAAATTATTAAAATAGTTTGTCAATTTAATTCGTGATATTACTACAGTAGTTTAATTGCGTTTATAAGTCCGAAAAACCAATTCGGCGTGCAGTGCAAATGACTACAAATATAGTGTATATACACATATATATATATATGCATGTATATATACAGGGCGCGAATTTTGAAACATCCTGTACAGTGTGTATAGTAATTCAGATTGAATTATTTAAGCATTAAAGATCTAGCTTTGACCGTTATGGCCATTATTTCTATTTCTTATTGCTGAATAATTAAAAAATACTATATGAAACGCGGCGCAATTCGATAAAAATTAAATACAGATAGATGTTTATACATATAATGTTTATACATGCGGTTGTTCCGATTTACCAGGGTAATGGTTACTTTCACTATGTTATTCAAATTGACTATTGACAGTATATAGTTCCAATATATACAATATGTTCCAAGATCATATCTTATTTGAATAAAGAAACGCTTTCTCATTCAGAAATAGACTTATTTGCTTTTCACATTTACGTTGTGTTATTATTGTCACCGATTTTCTCTCTCTCTCTGATTGTGCACCTAATTTTCTTTCAGTTATATTAACAACATAAATCAAAGAAATGTTAATTTTAAGTTTCTTAAAGAAGAAATTGCATAGAAGGAACCTATTTAAAATTGGAATAATCATAATTTCAAAACGCCCGATTAAAAATGTATATTTTGAATAACTTGTATTGAATTGAAATTTCATAGTTAATTTTGCATCGAAAGTGATTATATAACTAAATATAAAATAAAGTAATTATGAATATTCAAGTGCAGTAATAATTAATTACCTAATTAATTAGGTTTCACAACATAGATAATGGTTTTTTATAATTTAAGCAACTTTATTTTCTATAATCTATTATAGATATTACATAAACTAATTACATAAAATAATATGAATTTTCAATGTAATAATTGATACATCTAGATTTTATTATAAAAAGTTGGAAACTTTGAACGCGTGCAGAATAATAATTTTAATATTGAGTAATTTTAGTGATTTTGCAAAGTTATTTTTATAAATAAAAGTTAAAGTAGTTTTTATCTTGTAAAGTGCACAGTAAATTGCACTTTACATAAAAAAAATTAAAATTTGTAATTCATATTCAACTCGTCTATTGCTTATAAAAAGTTTCAAAAATTTAAAAATTTAAAAATTATATTTGTGAATATTAATTAAAAAAAGAATAATAATAAAATACAAAATTGATTTGATAGTCGCCATTTTAAGAAAAGAATTTAGAAAAAGGTGTTTTGATTGTAAGAAATATTATGATTAGAGTTCGTATAATAATATGAATACTACACTGAAAAAAGAGTTTGGTTGGATTATTTGGAAATCTGGTAGATTCAATCAGTATGTTTGTTCAAAAACGGACGAATCAGAATTCTTGTAAGAATTACCGGATGAATTTGATTAATTCCTTCTAGTTAAATCTATCAGAATTTTTTGTTGATAGATTAAATTTTTTTCGTTGATTATATAAGAATTTCTTGTTGATCAAATAAATTTTTCCTGTAAACTGTATCAGAATTTCTTGTTGGTCAAATAATGCCTACCCATTGAATCTACCAGAATTTCTTCGAAGAAGAGAAGATGTTTTTTCGTCAGTTAGCTACATAATAACTTCGTTCCACTTTTTCCTCTTTCTAACCTGTTCAGACAGGTCACAATATGTGACTTAGTTTGTCCATCTTGCAGTAATAATTGTTTCACTTCGTGTTTCACTACAAGACTTCACTGACTTCATTTCAGTAAGTACAGATAACACGATATCTGGAGACACGGTAGTGTCTCGGCGCTAAGCCAAGCGCAGCGATGACTCCTTTACGCGAATCGACGAGTTGCGCTGGATTGAGATAATCGGATCTCAATAACGACTGAACCGATTGCGTTCTATGTACGCTCAAACGATAACCACCACACGGATTGTATGATAAAAGTGCTTTTACTTTTTTTCTACGTGCCCTACGAGCGGAGATATTGTGATGCAAACTCTGAATCTCTGATTTTTAAGAAACGTCATCATTGTCATCATCATCATTATTTTTTATTATTAACGTCGTCGACCAGTAAATATATGTCGACTGGGGGAGAAATGTACATCTCGTTTTTTCGATAATAGATGGCTTTCGACTTAACCAAGCGATGGTAGCATTGCACATTCGAACGTGATCAACCACACATGACGGCTGGATAATCAGCGATTTAAGATACGTCGTTATTGTCATTATTGTCATCGTCGTCGACCAGGAAAAATGTACGTCTCGTTTTTTCGATAATAGATGGCTTTTGACTTAACCAAGCGATGGCAGCATCGCACATTCGAACGTAATCAACCACATATGACAGCTGTGATAATCAGCGATGGCAACATTGTCACATATATACAATGTGACGCGCGCGTGGTGCAAAAATACGATGTGACTCACACGCGGCGCAAATTATTAATTAAAATTAAAATGAAATATTAATTAAAATTGAAATGAAATATCGAGATTGTCGTTGAAGATCTAGGTATTTACCGCGTCGAGGAAGAGGGTGTCTAGATATTCACCGTCGACGAATTAAGCGTCTAGGTGTTCGTCATCGAGGAATTAAGCGTCTAGATGTTTGTCGTCGAGGAAGTGGGTGTCTAGGTGTTCGCCGTCAAGGAAATGGGTGTCTAGGTGATAGCCGTCGAGGAAGTGGGTGTCTAGGTATTCGCAGTCGAAGAAGTGGGTTTCTAGGTGATCGCTGTCGAGGAAGTGGGTGTCTAGGTGTTCGCCGTCGAGAAAGTGAGCGTCTAGGTGTTCGCCGTCGAAGAAGTGGGTGTCTAGGTGTTC